TTATCTGCCCCTACCATTGCTTAAACATCAATGCTATTTTTATACCTATAAATTTGTTATGAATAGCTATCACTGAACTACAGTTAATCATGTTTTCTTTCCCTGAGGTTATTATAAAAATCGAAGCTTAAATCTAAAATTTACTGAACTCAGCTGATGTTTTCCTTACGGTCGTAGGATACAGAAGGGGTCACCAATACCATGCTCTTGCGGCAGGTGATCATAGGTAGGGTGGGCAACATGCGAGCACAATTACATCCGTGTCTTCGCTGCGTTAAGATTTCTCCCTTCCTTTTCTTTCTTGAGTCTTTAAATTCTACTTTTTCCGAATTGATTTATATTTCTTCCGGTTCAGTTAACTGACGTATGATTTTGTCGCGAGCACGCTCAATTCTTGGTCTGTTAATAATAATGTGTAGATAGTGTCAGGGTCTGTATAAAGCAAGAACAACACCCCCAAAGCCGACGAGTTAGTCCCGGACCCTATACCGTGTAAGTACAGATCCCTCGATTCACAACACTTCACTCGAACGTTACACGCTACAGGCTTTGGCGTAATGATAGACGCTGATAAGTGTCAAATTTATAAAACGAAAATGATAGATATGGTGATTTTAACTGATTATGAGGATATTATATGTTCTGATACAGGTTTGGTTGATTCCGATAAAGTTGTTGCGAATACCAAAAGTCACAGTTGTACACATACACATTGTGTGTGTGTGGGAATGGGATGAACAATGAAGATCTTAGAGAGAGCCAAAGCTCTCTCTTTGTTCTTTTCCTCTATGACTTAGAACGTTTTTATACTCCTTACTCGTAGAGTAAAAGATACTAGATTCGTTGAAAAGTATGTAACAGGTAGAAGGAAGCGTTTCCGACCCTATAAAGTATAAATATTCTTGATCAGTATCAATAGCGAAGTCTATTGGGCCATGTCCGTCTGGCTGTCCATCCGCCCGTAGATCTCCGTCATGAGATCTCAGGAACTATAAAAGATACAAAGTTAGGATTAAGCATGATGAGGTTGCAGCGTAATTTTATTTTCGCATCCTGACACGCCCATTCTAACGCCCACATATCACGAAAAACTAAAATCGATTAATTCTCAGGAACTATTAGAGCTAGAAAATTGAAATACAGTCTTCGGCCACACCCACTCTTACGCCCACCAAGTTCAAAAGACGGTTATCGCATTCTTATTTGCAAAAGTTAAATTTTTTACACGCTGTCAGCCAAACAGCTGTTTGTAGTACCGAGGTTTCCCGCTGTCAGCAAATCAGCTGATTAGCTTAGTGCCGGGACAATTTTTTCGAAGCTCAAAGCTCAAAACAAAGGCAACTCAAAAATTAAAAGCATACTTTCCGGCGAAATCACACCGCTGCATACTTTTTCGGCGACACCTTAGTGCCGACTCTGACCGATAGAGAGCGGCTATAAAAAGAACTCGCCACCAGGGAGCGGATATACATTTCGGCGTTACCTCACCACCGAACTTATCTTTTTGAAAAGGGTTTACAGTAAGTAAGTTGTATACATTACAAACGATTTGCCCTCGTTGGTGTGTGCGGGCGCCAAAGACAGCACCGACAACATGGCGGTAGACAATGTGACTAGAGCCTAAATTGCGAAGCCCAAGTGGCAAGCTGTAAAACCCAAATTTATCCCAGTTAAAAGGAATCTCCCTCCCAAGTCACCAGAGCCCGAAAGAGCGGCCAAAAAATAGGCATAGTAATAGAAAAACGTATATCTCGCACACGCATTTTGAGCAACTCGAGCAGTTCGAGCAACATTGATTCGGAACCAGAGGAAGGCGAGATTCCACCTTTTATACTATATGACGCCCGGGGCGCATAAGAATGGAAATAATATATAAGATTAGGAAATAGGAATAGCCATAAAAGACAAGCCATGAAGTATTTAGGATAATTCGTTTTGTAGTTGTAAGGAGAAATAACACTGAAGTATTCGTTTGTTGATTTATTAATTAAATAAGATTTGAATTTGAATGCGCGGGCGCGCCTTAGTAAACCACGATCGGTCACACCGCCGGGCCGAACGGGCACACCACATAAAGGGATTTTCGGGAACGGGCACACTAACGGCGGCCACGGGGTATATAAGGAGGACCGGTTTCTGGGAAGAGTCACTTGTGCGGTGGATCTCACCCAGGTAAGATCAGCCCTCTCCCCCAGTTGGGCACCCTCACCGGCACTAGTCACTTTTGCTCAGATTTAGCCTCAGGCTAAATCTAATAAATTCGACCTCGGTCATACCGAGGGAGCGCTGCCATCGGCTACTCGCCGATGCTTGCCCGCAGCAGATCCACTGCCGGCACTTCCGCAACAGCCTCACCAGGCATCTCTCGCAAGAGTCCCACCGGGGCCTTGCATCTCTTACGCATCGGACCCCACGGGCCGAGCGTCATCTTTTGTTAAGTCGGATTTAGCTGGGGCTAAATCTAATGCATTCGACCTCGGTCCTACCGAGGAAGCACTGCCATCGGCACCGCCGATGCTTGCCCGCAGCGGATCCACAGGATCACTGCTGCCGACACTCTCGCAACAGCCGCACCAGGCTTTGCATTTCTCACGCGTCGTACCTCAAGGGCCTCGCGTCATCTCTCGCAAGAGACCCACAGGGGCTTTGCATCTCTCACGCGTCGGACCTCAAGGGCCTCGCGTCATCTCTCGCAAGAGACCCACAGGGGTTTTGCATCTCTCACGCGTCGGACCTCAAGGGCCTCGGATCATCATCATCTCATCCGAGACCCACTGGGTTTATATTCACTCTCTCTCATACCGAACCCCCGGGTTCTTTTCTTCCTTTCTTTTACTTTTACACTCGCTCGCGTGGCTGGCATGGGAGGAACTGAGAAGGGCACTTCTAGAGTACTTTCTACCGCCAAGGTATCAGGAACAACTGGATTTGAAATTCGGACAACTCAGACAGAGGGGGGAGGGAGAACCGACACGAGCATACGCGATGGAGCTGAGAAAGCTGATGAGATTCACCTGCTACTCGGAGGAGGAAAAACTGGATAAAATCTACAAGAACTGTCGAAGCAAGATAAAACTATATGCACGAAAATCAGGTTTTGCGTCGCTAACAGAGTTCCTAACACTGGCAGAAGAGGTGGAGGAAATTGAGGCAGCGGACACTCAGGGTCAACCAGCAGAGGCAAGGGGCCACGGACTTAGGCCAGAAATCTGTATGAGATGTGGAGGAACAGGGCATGCCACGAGAGCATGCGGCAACCCGCCGAGACTATTCTGCTGGGTATGCGGAAAAAACGAGAAAAGGACGACGGAGTGTTGTAGAGCCCGGCCGGATAGCAACAGGAAGCTGGAGCATGCGACGCTGGCGGTGCAAGACCGAGCACAAGGACCGATGGGAGGAGAATGCATAAGCTATGATGGATTCCAGGCAACGGCAGAGTAAACATGGACAAATTCGAAGATTCCAAAAAGCGGTTCCGAGAACACAGTGCCCAACTACAACGGGCCACCAAGAAGACATAATAATACCGGCCCGGGCCGCCGGACCAAAAATAACCACCGGGCCTGTACATGGAGAGGAGACCAAGGTGAATAACTGGGGTGGACGGTCCCAACAGGGGTCGTCCTCCTGCCAGCCACCGTGGAGCAGATACTGGAGAGGTGGAGAAAGAAGCCACGGGGCAAACAGCAGAGCCTGTTAGTGCCGGAAGGGGCACGGACGTGGAATGTGCTCTTCGGCAGAGGCCGAGGAGTCCCCATCCGACAAGCAAACCGGAGGCGGCCAGAGGCGGCCCGGCAACATAACACCACAGGAGGGCAGCTACGTGGAGACGACATGGAGGACGTGGAGTGGCAGATTCAGACGGGAATTAACTTGCTGCCGGCCACCCAGGCTCACATCCGGGAGCATTGGGCCGGGTTGCGGTTTGGGCAGCACCGCAGCGTCCTTATGCCCAATGGAGGTGACACACTCCAAGTCGTCTTCGGGCGAGGCCGCCGAATCATGATCCGGCCTCACAAGTCAACCGCCCATAAAAACGGGGGGTGGTATGACGCCCGGGGCGCATAAGAATGGAAATATTAGACAAGCCATGAAGTATTTAGGATAATTCGTTTTGTGGTTGTAAGGAGAAATAACACTGAAGTATTCGTTTGTTGATTGATTAGGAAATAGGAATAGCCATAAAAGACAAGCCATGAAGTATTTAGGATAATTCGTTTTGTAGTTGTAAGGAGAAATAACACTGAAGAATTCGTTTGTTGATTTATTAAATAAATAAGATTTGAATTTGAATGCGCGGGCGCGCCTTAGTAAACCACGATCGGTCACACCGCCGGGCCGAACGGGCACACTAACGGCGGCCACGGGGTATATAAGGAGGACACACGCTCCATCATTTCTATTCTTCTCTCTCCCTTTCTTAGCTAGCGGATCACCAAGACGGACCGGACCGGCCCTCACACGGCATCCCCACGGCCCACCACGGAGCATCGAACCCGCAGCTACCCCTCGTTGGAAGGTCTCTTCCCAGGCCCGCAGACCATCCACGGCCGCGACCAACCGATCCCCTGTGAATTAACTCTGTAACCATAGATATGAAATAAATAACTAAGATCTGTTCTATTCTTAACTAACCAAGCTGCGTCTTACTCTGGGGGGAATCTTCTTTGCAGCAACCACGCCTGACATCAAAGTAAATGTTGGAACGAACTGCTGTTATCCGGTGAACTGTCCCAGCCACCTCAAAGCAGGACCGTTACATGGCGCCCGAACAGGCTGAAGTGGTTGCAGGAAGAAGGACACTAAGAGCGTAATGTCGAGCTGTCGAGCTATACCAGGCTACAAAAGCAGAGCTGGTAGAATACGCGAGTGAATTCGGCGTAGACCCAAGCGGAGGATCAAGGGAACTAAGACAGAGATTGGCGACATACACAAAGAACACGGATCACACAGAGGAAATCAGGACGAGATTGATGGAGGTATCAAATAAGTACAAAAAAATGGACATACCGGGTGGAGGAACCCTGGTCGAGCCGGACAGCAAAAGGACGGCCACGAAAGAAGAAGCTCGGAGCTCGGAGGACAGGAGGAAAGTGGAAACTTTAGACAGAGTGAGAAATTGGGGAATACGGTACCAGGGCACATCCAAACCACTGGAGTTTCTAGGCAAGATGGAGGAATGGGCCATAGGATATGGCATATTCAAGGATGAATTGGTACAGACGATGCCGTTTATCTTGGAAGGAGCCGCAGAAGACTGGTGGAATACGACGCCAAGTCGGGCAAGAACATGGGAGGAACTGAGAAGGGAACTTCTAGAGTACTTTCTACCGCCAAGGTATCAGGAACAACTGGATTTGAAAATCGGACAACTCAGACAGAGGGAGAGAGAACCGACACGAGCATACGCGATGGAGCTGAGAAAGCTGATGAGATTCACCTGCTACTCGGAGGAGGAAAAACTGGATAAAATCTACAAGAACTGTCGAAGCAAGATAAAACTATATGCACGAAGATCAGGTTTTGCGTCGCTAACAGAGTTCCTAACACTGGCAGAAGAGGTGGAGGAAATTGAGGCAGCGGACACTCAGGGTCAACCAGCAGAGGCAAGGGGCCACAGACTTAGGCCAGAAATCTGTATGAGATGTGGAGGAACAGGGGCACGGCCATAAAAACGGGGGGTGGTATGACGCCCGGGGCGCATAAGAATGGAAATATTAGACAAGCCATGAAGTATTTAGGATAATTCGTTTTGTGGTTGTAAGGAGAAATAACACTGAAGTATTCGTTTGTTGATTGATTAGGAAATAGGAATAGCCATAAAAGACAAGCCATGAAGTATTTAGGATAATACGTTTTGTAGTTGTAAGGAGAAATAACACTGAAGTATTCGTTTGTTGATTTATTAAATAAATAAGATTTGAATTTGAATGCGCGGGCGCGCCTTAATAAACCACGATCAGTCACACCGCCGGGCCGAACGGGCAAACTAACGGCGGCCACGGGGTATATAAGGAGGACACACGCTCCATCATTTCTATTCTTCTCTCTCCCTTTCTTAGCTAGCGGATCACCAAGACGGACCGGCCCGGCCCTCACGCGGCATCCCCACGGCCCACCACGGTGCATCGAACCCGCAGCTACCCCTCGTCGGAAGCTCTCTTCCCAGGCCCGCAGACCATCCACGGCCGCGACCAACCGATCCCCTGTGAATTAACTCTGTAACCATAGATATGAAATAAATAACTTAGATCTGTTCTATTCTTAACTAACCAAGCTGCGTCTTACTCTGGGTGGAATCTTCTTTGCAGCAACCACGCCTGACATCAAAGTAAATGTTGGAACGAACTGCTGGTATCCGGTGAACTGTCCCAGCCACCCCAAAGCAGGACCGTTACAACTACCAAAGAAGACGGCAAAGAAAATAACCCAGGAACAGCATTTATATGACGGACCTAGCACCTCTAATCGCTTTGCCACACTGGCTGTCGAGAGTAGCAACCTAAATTCTAACGAAAATGCAGAGCAGAAGAGTGCACCCAAACCACCCCCAATTATTATTCTAACTGATCTGCGTAAGATTGTATAGGCTGACAGCTTCTCCTATAAAGCTACGGAAGGAGGAAGTATTAGACTGTTGCCCAAAGATAGTACCACTTATCGCAAAATTGTTGACCATTTTGATAATTGTAAAATGGCATTTAGAATATACCAGCTAAAGGAAGAAAGAGCGTTCCGGATAGTCGTAAAAGGGCTACATTTTTCAACTCCGACAATCGAGATTGTGGAAGCTATCGAAAAACTCGGACATAAGGTGCGCAATGTTAAGAATGCCTTATCAAGATCTAGCAAGTCCCCGATGTCCATGTTCTTGGTCAACCTTGAACCAGCTACGAACAATAAAGACACCTTCAAAATTACCAGACTCTGCCATACTGTAGTCTCTGTGGAAGAGCCAAGAAAGTTCAATGAATTGGTGCAGTGTTTCCGTTACCAGGGTTTTGGCCATACGAAAAAGCTTTGTCGGCTACAATTTACTTGCGTTAAATGTGGCCAAGAGCATGACACTATTGAATGCTAAAAGGCTAAGGAGGAAACGCCCTAGTATGTCAATTGCGGTGAAAAACATACCGCTTCTTATAGTTGTTGCCGAGTATACCTGGAAGCCAGAAAACGGTTTAACCCCAAACCAAAGGCTCCAGTACCAATTAGGCGTGCTTCACAGCCAAATTTCGCACCTAGTGCTGCCACAAATCAGCCTGGAAATCTAAAATTCAGCTACGCCGACATTACTTGGGAAGGAGCTCCACAACCCTCTGGCAACAACCAATTCACAAATGTCACCGAAGAATCTAACTTAGAGCACAGGCTCATGCGCCGAATGGAACAAATGATGAACAACATATTTAAACAACTCCAAAATATGATGATGGTCATGTTTTCAAGTCAAATGAATATTAACCAATGTCCTTAAGTCTCAAATTGTAATTTGGGATGCGAATGGCTTGACTCGAAGCAAGACTGAGGTGGAACACTACATCAAAATAAACCAAGTTGATATAATGCTCGTGTTAGAGACCCATTTTACTAGCAGAGCCTACTTTTCTATCCCTGGCTATGACATAATTAATGCGAATCACCCCGGCGAAAGAATACGTGGTGGAGCTTCAATAATTGTGAAGCGCGGCATTCAATACGAGGAGCTTGATTTTGTTGCATGGATGCAGTGTGCGAAGATCCAGTTTTTAACGTCGACAGGTAAAATCACCATTGCTGCAGCGTACTTGCCCCCTCGTTATCCAATCTCCCAAGCGGATCTATCTCAAGAACTGACAAACCTGGGTCCTAGATTCATAATTGGTGGAGACTTCAATTCTAAACATACTTGGTGGGGATCCAGAACCGTCAACCCCAAAGGCAGCATTCTTCTCGCATGCATCAGGGCAATGGGCTGCAGCGTCAACTCAATTGGAGAACCCACCTACTGGCCCACTGACCCTGCTAAGATACCAGACCTCTTGGACTTTGCTATTAGCAAAGGGATTGATCCTACTAACTTATCCACTTCGATCTTCGCTCTGACCATAGCATGGTTAAGGTACCTTCCAACAACTCGTACCTGAGAAATTAAGCTCCTGTGAAGCTCATAAGGCGCAATACAAATATACTCTCATAAAAAAGCTGGCTGGAAGAACATGTGGATCCAGAGTTAGTAATAGAAAATCCAGAGCAAATTGACGAGGCAGTGGAGAGCCTTACTTATTTTTTTTTTAATTTTTTTTTGGAGAAATTAATTTTTTTAATTTTTAAAATTTAAAATTTAGATATTGTTGGAAATTTATTAAGGAAGCATTTTGAGCATTTTGGAAATAAATTTATTTAACCCTTGTGTCCGACTGTTTTACTTGGAGTATTTTATTTTTTTTATATTAAAATGTCTGAGAATAAAAAGGAATCATCGTCAAAGGCTATGCAAAAACACGGCAGGGTAATGAGTGACATTCAACGTATGAGAACGTCATTCGGGAAAAAACCATCTCATTCGATAGGTTTCAAATGGAATACCGAATGCAACTTCTCGAAACATATTGCGATTAATTGATGGATATTCAAGGAGATATCGATGTGCTAAATCCAGTGAATGATTTAAGAGCGTCTGTTGAGGAGATGTGCATAATTACAAAAGCGTTATATCGGTCCGCAATGAGAGAATGCGAACCTCAGAGACTTAGTCAAAGTGATATATGTAGGTGGTTATCGTTATTCGTCTCAGTTACCAAAAATGAATCTACCGAAATTTAGTGGAAAACATTCCGACTACACAAATTTTATAAGTCTTTTTGAGAGTTTAGTACACAACGACCTATCTCTAACAAATATAGAGAAATTTAACCATTTGCTAACATGTCTAAAAGATGATGCATTAGGAACTGTGAAAGCTTTTCAAATTTCGGATCTAAATTATGAGAAGGCATTGGCTAGTAAAAAAAACGTGTACGATAATAAATGTTTGATCCTTTTTGACACAATTTCTCAGCTGTTTGACCTCCCGCAAATATCAAAACCCTCTGCATCAGGCTTGAGGTCTCTTATAGATGAAATATCGGCCCTCTACGCATCGTTACAGTACTTGGGTAGTGAAAAGGAAATAAACAACGCAATTTTTATTCACATCCAAAGTAGATCACACAACAAAATCCAGATTTGAGGAACAGCTAGATAATAATACGCTGCCTACATGGTCTGATTGTGCGACTCTGTTGAATCGGCGATATCAACATTTAGCTGCTGAAGAGTCAACCAAAAGTAAAGGGAAGCCTAACCAAGGTTCCAATAGAGGATATTCAAAATCTTCCTTCTCATGCACACAAACAGATCGCAGACCTGAATCAAAATGTCTATATTGCTCAGCGACAAACCATAGTTTAGGCAGTTGTCAACCTTTCATGGCTTTATCAGTGATCCAACGGTTCGATTTTACGAAACACAATCGGTTGTGCATTAATTGTCTGCATCCAGGTCATCCAGTCAAGAAGTGCAAAGCAGTAAAGTGTCGCATTTGCTCCAAACCTCATAACACACTTCTTGACAAATACGGGGTAGAGCAGCAACCAACTTCTTCGGGATCACTTCCTCAAGCGCAAGCCCAAGCACCTTCAGTAGCATTTGATCATCCCAATCAAGCCCATTCTTGTCATGTTGCAAGTAGTGACCAAGTTATTTTATTGTTAGTTTTAAGGATAGATGAAAAGAAAGAATTAATTAAATACGCAGCGGAAATGTAAGCAAATCACCTTAAACCAATGTACAAAAGCTTATCAGTTGCACTCAAGCTTGAGCATAGCCGAGTTGTTGTGATCTAACTGATAAGCTTTTCTGTTCATGGCTGTGCGAAATGTTATGCTGCTCTCGGGAGAACATTAACCGATCGAACCTCGAAGCAGCTGGCAGCAATAAACTTTAGAATCAACTTCGTTTCGTTTGTTTCACTTCTTGGAAATTCCCCAGCCGCTAGTCGCAAGTCTTTTTTTGCTTAAAGTTTAAAAGAAATTTTTCCGGGAAAACTCTCCCGGATTTTCACTCTAGCTACAAGCGCACTGGACCAACAGCCTTGACGACTAAGCAGATGGCACCCAACGGACCTGCCCTTCAGGACCAGACTTCAAAACGCCGATTTTATCACACATCACAAATTACACATACCCCCCCCTTTTTTATAACATTCCCAATTAAACCAACATAATTTGGTATCCCACTATTAAATATAATCATAACATTTAATATGCCCCATGGGCAGATGTAAATAAAGACATTAAATCAAACAAAAAAAAATAACTGCCCACATAAGACCTTATAACCTAAATTTCTTCACAAAAAGCGAAATAAAGTTCCGATTTGAAAAATCTTTGGTAAATCGATAGATATAACAGAAATACCTTATACAAGGTCAAACGAAGGTATTCATAATAATATTATGGATGCCACAGTTTTCCGCGGTTCGTGGGCGTTAAGGTGGGCGTGGCCGGATGAAAACTCGTAGCCAGTTGCAGTGATATCTCATAAATACGTCCTCTAAAGCCTTACTTTCAGAAGCCAAAATAAGAAGAAGAAATAAAATGAACTTTGTTTTGAACCACAGAGGAGAACAGCACGCAAACACCTTCATCATGGAAGACGTTCTCTTAGGACTGGATATTTGATGCGGCGTATCCGCCACTCGGCAATTCGGACAACTTAGTCCTTCTTTCGGATCCACCGCTTCGGACGATCTAATCGTATAAGCTACGCCATACGCTTAAATTTAAAATGCTCATGTTAGCTACGTAAGATTTGCATGTAAATAGAGAAATCAGTTTGAAATTGTAACTCAGCAAATGTGGACGTCCACTCTTTAAGATTGCTCTTTTAGTTTGCTCATTCGAGGCACTCTTTAGTTTTCCTACCCGTGGTAAGAGACTAAAAATTTGTAGACCAGCGCCTTATAATTTTTTCCCAACGCACGATCAGCTTAAGGTTGCAAAAATAAAATTTATCTCGATCTCGTTTCAGTCGTTGACGAGAGCGCAAGTGTTTTCGGTTTGGCTCCGTTACCTTCGTTATCTTTCGAGCCGCCGTGCTAGGCTTAGTGCGTCACCCGCGTAAACAGTGCGGCTGTTTCTATTAAAAACTTTCCTGTGTTTATGGAGACGTATATACAGAAGCAGGGCAGTGACCTTTAAAGAAAGAATTTTGTTTTTTCGAAGTGAAAAGGTGATTTTCAAAGATGCACGCGGAGCACGTGTTTGAACAAGTTTTTCTGCCACTATACTTGCATTGTTCCGAGAGTAACAACATCTTCAGCCAGCGGCAACCACCACGCCAGCTAGCGCCAACCACATCGGCAGCCAGCAGCTACAACATCGCCAGCCGCAACGCCCAAAAGCGTCGCCAACAACAACAGCAGCTAACAACAAAACAAAACCCTCGCGAATAACTTTGTAAAAAAAAAAACATTGCGCAGTTCACTTAATATGTAAGCTTAACCAATAATTGTAAGATTTGTAGTTATATCGATACACGGTAATTATCTTAGCTAAGCCCAAGCGATATGTTCCGTTTATCTTTTCCCCTCCGTTCTCGCATCGGCAGTAGCCACACACACACACACACACACCAGGAGAGCAAGGAAATATTCACCACGAAAAGTGCTCGCGTGAGCAGCGCCGCACAGGAGCAAGCCAGAGAGAACATGCGATCGAGCAGGAAAACAACCACAGAAAATTGGCACGCGCCAAGGGGAGAGCGAGAGAAAAAGAGTACTGAAACTTCGAGAAGTGGAAAAAACCCAGAGCCGCCGGTAAAACTTGAACAAAAAAACGCGGGTAAAGGCGGATTCTTGAAAACGCGGCGGACGGGATCAGAAGTGCAGACAGAGCAAAAATTCAGTTGGACAAGGGGAGTTTTTTTTTGTTGCGTTCTGAGTGCGGAAAAGTTGTGGAAGGAAAAAAAGGCCTCCCCAAAGAGAGTGGAGTGACTTGTGCCCAGTGACCCAGGAATCGAAGATTTCTTCTGGGAAGGAGTTTACCTAGACGACCTCGAGGAGAGTGTGCCGGCCTAAGACCAGCGGTGGAACACCCGGATTCACGCGTGTATGTGTGTGTGAGAGCGAGACGGGTGAGTGAGTGGAGTGAACCGCATTTTGGCCAGCGAGAGTCCCCGGCAATGAGAAACTTCTCGAAGGCCTCGATGCGGCTTCGCCCAGAATAGGCTAGAATTTATTTACCATGACTTAACCGAACCCGTTAACCCGACTACACTGGGAAAACAAAATCAGGTCATGGAACACCAAAAAATTTACAAACAGATGATGGAAAAGAGTTTTTTAATACAAAATTTAAATCACGTTCGTATCAGCAAGTATAAACATGTGTTTGAAAAAGGTATACACCGAATTATACAACAGAAATCTTTAAAATTAAAAAAGTCAACAATACATTCCCCAAAACATACTTACTTGAAAATTATAAAGTTAAAATTAAAAGACAATGTAATATTTAATTTTTATTTTTGTTTTATTATTATTTTTTTTTTTTTTTTTTATTATAACATATAATTAAATTTAATAAATATATTTAGATATGTATAAATGTACAATTTTATAATGTGTATACTAACAATTTTAATAAAATATTATATGTTTTTACAATTTATTTTTGTTTTATATAATTTAACACCGGCCAAGCGCCCCCTTCCCTTCACAGTCTCTCGACCCGGATACCAGACACCGCGATTTCCCTCATCACCCCACTCAGCCAACCCGACGACCAGCAGAGACACAGCAGCGGTAGTGCAAACACCAAACGTCAGCGGCGTCAGAGCGACAGCGCAGCGCCAGAACGTCAACGGCAGAATTGCACCGGCAGAATTGCAACGGCAGTAGCGTGAGAATGGAAGAGCATTGACCGCCCGCTAGCTGCCTCAGCAATAACTGCCGCTACCCCTTCCCATCGCTGCGGCCAACCCGAAATGCAGAGCTAGCACCTGGAAGTTAGCAACTCGTTGGCCCAAAACCCCCAAAACCGCTGCTGTCAGCATCGGACCGCTGCAACCGCTCTGCCAGCGTTATGCAGCGAACAAGCCAGCCAAACTTATGTTTTAGATTTACTTCGATTTGTACCCCCAAAGCCAGCAGACCTTTATCATTTGCTAATAAAACCATTGTAACGTGTAAAAGCGATTACTGTTTTATTTTAAAGTAGCATCGTTGAGAATTAAGATTGAGCTGTGAAGGAGAAGGACGAAGGGACTTGTAATTGGAACCGCGAGGATGCAGATAACATTAACTAGGTAATATCCGGGGGAATACTCCCCCCTCTGGCCATGTCTGGCCATAACTTATATATTTACCACAATCTCGATCAAATAAAACATTTCCAATTCTATTGACTTATAAAATAATTCTTGTTCTATGTTTACTTGCTTATCTCTAAGTTCATTTAATGTATTGACATCTGTATTTCTCCCATTTATTATATCTCTTAAGAATATATTTTCAAGTTCTAAGAAATTAATACTATCCACAATGTCCTTTTCCATTAACCTTTTATGTTTTATTGATAGAGTACCATGATCATCGTCATTTAACATTGCAAACTCTGTTTCATTATGTTTTCGTTTTCTTTTACTATCATTAGCACAAAGCACATTCTTATATACCCTTTTTGTTGATATTTTGTGTGCCCTTGATCTAAACATTGTCCTACTACCATATAGTGGAGTTCCAGTGAGTAATACATTTTTATAATGACCCATAGTTAAATTTCTGGAACTCACACCTTTTGCTTTATTAACAGAGTTTTCAACTTCATCTATTTTATAACTATAAATTTTCGAGCATAGACCTATAAATTCACTCATTGGTTTTCCATTCAGCTCATATTTAAAATATCCTAACCACTTTTTATTAACTTTTTTAAAATTATATAAATCGATTCGTTTCATGTATTGGTAATGAAAATCATACATTTTCCACTTTGATAAGTCCAATACAGCAAAACCCAAATACATTGGCTTATCAAATATCACAGAAAGTTTTTTAATTTGGATGGCATAGAACTCGTCATTTATTTTAGTTGCACTATGAAAATTGAATTTTGAAATTAAATTTTTAGCACATTGTTTTTTTCGACCGAGTTTATGAACATCTATAGACTCCCATGTAGTTACCAATTTAACCTCTACACGTTTTTCAGGATTTTCCATAGTTTTTCCATAGTTTTTCATTAATTTAAAAAAATCTTTTTCAAATTTATTCTTGGCATTCTGTCTATATAAAGTATTTAAGTCAATATAAGTCTTTAGCCAAGGTTTTTGCAAAAAGCGAACCGCCCTATGAATCTTTTTTAATATTAACCCATTTTGTATGAATTGCTGAAAATTTCTATAATGGATTACATAATATATTTTGTTCTTGAGGTCAGCTATTGTTGGCGAATTAAGTGGACTGTATTTCTTTTTTCTAGGATTCGAGTTTATTTCTTAATTATAAGCGGGCTTACAAAATGTTAAGCGGGGCAGGTTGCGAGCGGTTGCGAGCGAGTACAAAACTATATATATAAGCGGGGCAAGTTACAAGCGGTTGCAAGCGAGTCCAAAACTATATATATAAGCGGGGCAAGTTAAAAGCGCTTGCGATCGATTATTAACTTACAAGCGGTTGCGATCGAGTCAAAATCTATAATAACAAATGCCGAAAAAACGTGCAGAAAAGATAATGCAGAAAAACGCGTGATACTGCAATACCAATGCAAATTTACTGCAATTTCGTCTATGCGTGTGAGCTTCAAGATTTGAGTCGAAAAACAAAACAATGATGTGCATTTATCTAGCTACGATTTGACAATAATACAATAATGAGCATTTAACTAGGTGCGATTTGACAATAATGCAACAATGAGCATTTAACCGAACTATTCAACAACATACCTGCCCCCTAAACGACGGTTCAGTTCAAAGGAAGAGAAAATTCGTAATGGGGCCTCTGATCCTGCCCAGGATGAAGTTGAACGACTCGTCCCAACACAAGATGGCTATCTCTAGCAGGAAGAGTATAAGTCCCAGTAGCGTGGAGACGGCCCACGCTGTTTCAATATACCAATGCAGACGCTCGTGCGGAGATTCATGGACCAGGGAAATACTGTGCAGATTACACACCGTCTCGATGTTTGGCAGGATGCAGGTGCTGATCATCAGGGCCAGCATGTGCACCGCCACCAGGAGGGTGGTGCAGATGGCGAAGCCTATCACCAATCCCGGTGGTACACTTGTGTCGGGATCTAGTTGCACTTCCACCATTGCCACCATGGCAAATCCTGAGAGCAGGGCTGATATTTTACTGGAAGCCTTGAGCTTGGCCCGACTCAGCTGAAGTTTCCTCCAGGATAGATACGTGGGCGAGTGGAGATCCTCGCCGGACTGCGACATGCTGCTGCTGGCGGTGCGGTGATGTCCGCGCGACTGAAAGCGGTAGGATTGATTCTGTTGGTAGGTAGGCAACTGAAAGGGCGGCGGCTGGGCCGCTAATGAGGGCGATGCTTTATAGGATAGTGGTGCGAGTGATCCTAGTGGCGCTATTGGTGCTACTGCTGAAGCTGCTGCCGCTGAAGCTGCTATCTCGCTGCGCAGTGAAACGTCTCGTTTGCGGCGAATTTGAATTGAACTGGCTGTGATAGAGGTACCGCGACGACCTAAGATTGTCCAGTTGGTGAGCGGGCAGCTGGGTGGTCTGGTGGGACTGATGGTGGATTTGACTGAGGTTCGGATTTTGGCCCATATGATCGCCGTAGTCGCCGGTTGCCGCTGTGGCTGTAGGCGCCGCCGTATAGGCATCCACACTGGCCGCCAATCTGGCAGTGGCATGCAGAGCGCTCGCCAAGGCCGAAGGTTGCTGCCGAATCCCCGTGCGGTTCGGCTGCGGATGCACCTGTTCCATGTCCATGAAAGAGCGAGCTAGGGAATCCAAATCTTCGTAAGCGTGGTGTACTTGTGCTTTCGTAAATGGTTCGCCACAATCATTATAGCTGCCTGTAATGACCCAACCAAAATTAGTATGTAGTGCTATGGGGTATTCAATACCAAACTCACGGCGATGTCCAGTATAGATGTTCCACAGTTGAACAGCGCCTAAAATAACGTCGATTTTTCCAGGTGATCCAAACATCGGGTCAGCTAACGGTAAGTTGCGAATTTTGGTCCAGACAGAAGCGATGGATTTGACCTGCTGAGCGGGAATCAAAGAAGTCAGAGAACTCATAATTAGGCCAGAGACCTCCAATGAGGCAGTCGTAGTCCTTGATAGCAAAGTGAAGCTAGCGCGACCTCGGCTAACTCCAGCCGGGTTAACACCTAATCCAACAACTGAGATGCGAGCATGCGTGCGTGGAATTCCAATCCGTTGGATAAACGACTCAGCTACCATGGTTATTGTTGATCCAGTATCGAGCAGTATCCTACATGAGGTCTTGTTGCCACATTTGTCAATTACATTGGCTAGAATAGTTGGCAGTAGGGCTTGATTGTTGGCCCTCTCCACAGTATGATGGCTGACAGCAGCAGTATTCATAGCAACATCTGCATCAATCGAAGGAAATATATTAACCTCAGCCGCAGACATATGGGCGGAGGCCAATGGAATCGATCTAGACTCTTCCGGGTGGACTAGCGTGTGATGCTTAGCGTTGCACTGACGGCAAGTGTTCGAAGAATTACAATTCTTGACTTGATGAGATCGACTTAGGCAATAGTATCCCTGGCAAAGGTACGGCGATTTCCGACATCCAGGGCTTTGAATGCAGTACATGCGTATATATTGTGCTGTCCTTGACAATATATGCAGTCGCGAAAAGTCTGATTTGATCCACTTGGGGGGTTGCATTACGTGTATAATTTGACAAGACTCTAAAGTATCACAATGCGCAAAAAGAAAAGCGAATAGATCATGTATGGTGACGTCTTCCTTGGACGACACACTGCAGTTTGCCCAAGCTTGTTTGATTTTGGGTCCTAGTTTGGATAGCAAAATATAAATTAGCCACACATCGCGGCTGTCACAGTTCAGCGCGTGTAGGCCTCGAATACATTCGTCGGCAGAGTCAATTACCTTACGTAACTCTGCGATATTCAAATTGTTAGCGGTTGGCAACGATAGAAAATTTTGAACAAATGTTCGCGCGATTAGCGTTTTCTTGTTATAACAATTTTTAAATTTTTCCCACGCATCTTGGTAGTTATCATTAGTAACGGCAATATGTTTAATTAAGGAAAGTGCTTCCCCATCTAAATAAGATTTCAGATAATGAAACTTAAGTGGACTGTATTTCTTTTTTCTAGGATTCGAGTTTATTTCTTAATTATAAGCGGGCTTACAAAATGTTAAGCGGGGCAGGTTGCGAGCGAGTCCAAAACTATATATATAAGCGGGGCAAGTTACAAGCGGTTGCGAGCGAGTCAAAATCTATGTAATAACTGCCGAAAAAACGTGCAGAAAAGATAATGCAGAAAAACGCGTGATACTGCAATACCAATGCAAATTTACTGCAATTTCGTCTATGCGTGTGAGCTTCAAGATTTGAGACGAAAAACAAAACAATGATGTGCATTTAACTAGCTACGATTAGAACAACAATACAATGATGGGCATTTAACTAGGTGCGATTTGACAATAATACAATAATGGTAAATGGCCGATCTATTCTTCATCATACCGGACCCCCTGAACGACGGTTCAGTTCAAAGGAAGCACAAATTCGTAATGGGGCGCTTGTTGATTCCTCTGGCAGTTTTAACGGTGACCACACGGATCCTCTGACCCTGCCCAGGATGAAGTTGTACGACTCGTCCTAACACAAGATGGCTATCTCTAGCAGGAAGAGTATAAGTCCCAGTAGCGTGGAGAAGGCCCACGCTGTTTCAATATACCAATGCAAACGCTCGTGCGGAGATTCATGGACCAGGGAAATACTGTGCAGATTACGCACCGTCTCGATGTTTGGCAGGATGCAGGTGCTGATCATCAGGGCCAGCATGTGCACTGCCACCAGGAGGGTGGTGCAGATGGCGAAGGCTATCAGCAATCCCGTTGGTACACTTGTGTCGGGATCTAGTTGCACTTGCACCATAGCCACCATGGCAAATCCTGAGAGGAGGGCTGATTTCTTACTGGAAGCCTTGAGCTTGGCCCGACTCAGCTGAAGTTTCCTCCAGGATAGATACGTGGGCGAGTGGAGATCCTCGCCGGACTGCGACATGCTGCTGCTGGCGGTGCGGTCAGCTATTAGTTTTTTAACTTTATCCTCTTTAGTTGCAAAAATTTTAGACACACAAAACGAAAGATCATTATGTGTATCATGAAGACGATAGAAGTAAATTAGGTCTACTTCCAAAAAGTATCCATACTCACTATCAATAGATATGTTATGTATATCAAAATTTTTTTAAGTCATTAGGGGAAAACCATTCGAACCCTTTATAAGGATGAGGTTGTGACATTTCCCAACCATATAAATTGTTTGCATCCAAATACATTAAAAAGGATGATTTCTTTGTTGGATCAAAATCTGTTAAGTATTTGTTATTTGCCTTTGTATATCTATCGCAACATTGTACTAAGTCTCTCGAATGCTATTTGGAATAAATCTATACATATCGATATCTACTAATAACTCGAGTTGAATATTTGTGGTATTTAACATGGCTGGCCAAGATAGACCTGGTGTAGTAAAAAACTGAGCAGGGTCTAATGAATAAATTTGTAAACATATTTTTCGAAAATTTTCAAATATATCAGTCAATAGGAAAACATCAGTTTTTAAATACAACTCTAGATAATCCTTTAGACTTGAACAAGAAAATTGTGATCATTTGTGCGTGTTCATAATCATCTTGAGAACATTCATTTTCTGTGAAGTTACTATAGAATGCTGCTCTTGATGGAAATCTAATTTGAAAATTGTTTCCATTTGAAGTTTTTCTGGTTTTGGACACCGAAATATATTGTTTTTTATTTACTGGGATTGCATTAATAGGACCAGGAATTTTAGCCAAGTCTTCAATAAATAAATGACAATCAAACTTAGAAAAATTATGGAAAAACACTGGTATAAATGTACATAGTCTATACCCCAAGTTACATTTAGAATGAGCTACACCCATAAATAAACCTGTTAAATGGCAATGATCCCTAACTCTATCATTTAATAATATTTTTTTTAAATATGACAATTTATTGACTCCTGAAATTCAAACTCGTCCTCAGTAGTCCTTATGATTGGTTTAACTTTATACAAGTACTCATCATTCAGTTTTGATAAATCTTGCACAAGAGAGTCTACAAAATTTGATCCTGCGTTACTACCTGTTTATATTACAAATTTATCTAGCTTAGAATCACAGGCACACTTGATATAATAGGCATAAGCTATAGGTATATGAGAGTTTAAATTAAATAATTTTAGGTTTACTTCAATATTTCCTCCAGTACACATTCAAAGTCAGAGTACACGGCGAACGACACCTCAAGCTGCTTGCGGTACTGGGTAAACTCCAGAGTTAGCTTGTGTAATTCCGGCAGCCTGGAGACTTTTCCGCTACAAACAGTTTTATGTCTTAGAACAACATCCTCAGATCCAGAGAAATTTAAGCAAACATTACACAGCCATTGTGATCTGTTCTGAGACCCCTTTTGCCTTGTTAATAATCTATAAAACAGTTAATTTTTATTTAGTATGTTTATTTATAAATAATTATATATATATATATATATATATATGATACATAACTTGAAGTATTTTTAATGAACATATAATGTCCATTTGCGCCATCATCCAAAAACAGTATGCTAACGTGACATGGTTTCTCATTCTCCGTTTAAAACAGAGGCCCAATTATTTGTTTAGTATCTTCATTATACCCAAAGATTTTTATACTCATGTAGAGATTATTCTTTAAAAATGTTTCACACATTTTATTTCCATAGGGAAATTCAGATTGGTGAAATCCAATATTAATCCATTGTTCAAGTATATTTTTTCATTGGATATATCAACGTTATAGGAACTACATCTTTGGGGGTTTTTAATATTTATTAAAGCCGATATCAAGGTCCATTTGAAACAGTATGCATCATTTTCATTACATACATTAATAATGGCTTTCTTCGAAGCTAAGTATTTTGGTAGCGGGATATACGATGAACCTGATAAAGGTGTATATTGCTTCACATTCATTTCTAGGCGCATTATTTTGATTAATGCCCACCCGCTATCTTTCTCTTGGAATTCTTGTGTTTATCATACTATTTCCATAGTATGCTCAAGAAAAATAGAATCCAAATCCGAGAACTGATTCATAATGGTCATTTTACTCTGAAAACTTTTGATCTCAATTTCTTCCGTTTCATTCTTAAAGAGTATATATTCGGCAATGTTGCCCGGAGAATGTCTTGGAAAGAACTAATTAAATTTCTCCGATTTTGTACACAGTTTTAAAGTGGAACTTCACAAATTTTAGAAGTCTGGGAGTTACAATTCTAGGTTTCAAAAAAATGCAGCTAAGATAGATCCCTAAATAGTTTGAGATGGTTCGAAATCAAATGATATCTCAGTTTTAAAAATAAAGTCCTTTGGTTAGAAAAGATCAGAAATAGTTTCTTCAAGAAGCAGATTGTTCAAGAAAAGGAAAACCAATAGAGTGTGAGTTTAAAAATAGAGGACCTGTCGTTAAAAGAGAGTAGAAATAGTTTTTTTCAAGATAAAGATTGTTTGAGAAAAAGTAATCAATAGAAACCGAGTTTAAAAATGGCCTTGGAATAAATTAAATTTAATGACTTTTCATTTGCAGGATTTAAGATATCTACAAGTCAGGGTAGAAAAGATGAAGAAAACTAGAAATTTTTTAGAATAAATTCGGTAAGCAGGTGGTAAAGAGCATCATTTCTTTTTTTAAAACTAAAAGTTGTGTGACATGCCTTGTCCGAATGAACCAAACACACCTCTGGCCACCTACGCCGATGACACGGCGTTCCTAGTCAACTCCTCTTGCCGTATCGAGGCATCAAGAATCACCCAGGAATTTCTGGACACATACGGCAAGTGGACCAACAGGTGGAACATAGCGATTAATGGACGGAAATCACAACACTGCTGTTTCGCTTGGAGAGTGCAGTCCCTTCCGGAGGTTAAGCTTCACGACGACATCATTCCGCAATCATCACAGGCGCAGTACTTGGGCCTCATTTTGGATAAGCGCCTCACGTGGAGGCAGCATACTTTGAAAATAGCAGCTATTTGTCGTTCCAAGCGTAGTAAACTCTACTGGTTGCTTAAGCCAACGAGCAAGCTAAGCCTAGCTAACAAAGTGCTGCTTTACAAATCAATTGTGGTGCCCTCGATGATGTACTGCATCAAACTATGGGGCTTGGCTTCGGATTCTAACGTTATGAAAATTCAAAGGGTTCAAAACCGGGCGTTGCGCATGATTGCAAATGCGCCTTGGTACGTCAGAAACAAAGCTCTAGAAGATGACCTCCACATTCCCTCTATTAGGGAACAGATAAACAGGCACTCGAGTCGGTACAACGATCGGCTCACAGCTCACACAAACCACCTAGCCTCCTCGCTGGTTTACGCTACTATTAGAAGACGTCTAAAGCGAAGGCATCCAGCCGATCTCTGGACAAGAGGACGCCAAATTTCTCGAGTCCTAAACCAGTAATTTAGCATTAGCATTTAGCATTGATCTCTAGTTATCTAGTTATAAAAATTAGTTAGTTTCCTTCCTGTTATGTATTTATGTTATTTGTTCTTTGTAGTACGTTGTAGACGTTTAATAAATGTATTGTTATATCAAAAAAAAAAAAAAGGATTTAAGATATCTACAAGTCAGGGTAGAAAAGATGAAGAAAACTAGAAATTTTTTAGAATAAATTCGGTAAGCAGGTAGTAAAGAGCATAATTTCTTTTTTTAAACTTAAAGTCTTGGATGTACATTATGTATTCGGATCAAATTAAATTGTTTCTCAATCAGTTTAATGGAGTTCTACTTAAATCTCACTATCTGCGACTTCTCTTTATAAATACAAAACTACTTGAGTGTGAAGAAGTTGAAATGATAACTTCTATCCATGGTGTACACCGAAAAACATGTATCTGGAGAAAGGATTCAGCTAAGGAAGGAATCGACACTTGTGGATGTCATAAAAATTTTGAGTACGAAAGGGAGGCAGCAAACATTATGAATATATATTCTAATCTAGAAAATAGAATGAGAAGAAAATAAAAAAAATACAAAAAGTATTTCAGACTATATAACTTTATTTCAGATAATTAAATATTGATTTCATTATATAATGAAAACAAAATCACTGAAATAAAGAAAATAATTAAATAAACACATTTGCTGATAAAGTAAATATTTGTTTTATTTATTTCAGTTAATATGGGGCGTGAAAAAATAAAAGATTTTTTACATTTAAATTTTAAATATTTTTATTTTAATTTGTTTTTATACAATTTTATATTTAAATATCTAAGCTATTGGCAACATTTATTAAAAACTCATCGTCTTCATCTTTCATTAAATCTAGATATTTATTTTCTAAATCATCCACTTTTATGTCGTCAAAGAGGTAGTCATCTTCAGAAAAAACAATTTCTTCCGGTTCATCTATATCAATCCTTTGAGCACATTGAAAGTGCTCATACAAAAACTCATATCCAAGTACATCCATCGTTTCTCCTCCAAATGGGAAATCTTCCCATTTGAGTGATTCCAAATCTTGTGGAACAATTCCAAAGCCTGAATTGAATCGACGAATTCCACAGATATTACGTTCATGGTGATTTTGGTGCTCCTGACGAACTGATGCTGAACAATTTGACTGCTCTCCTTTTTATACTTAAAGGGCATACAGATATGTTATACTCGTAGACCTCCCAACAATCCAATTCATTTTTTCAACTATATTGAAAGTCAGATATCCAAAACACTTTGAAATATGAATAGAAATGTCTTAGAAACATGTTCTCCGAAAACAATTACTGCATCGTTACACTCCTTGTATCCCTTTCCTCCTTCAGTTAATTGAGTTGGTCCATGTAAGTATGCGAGCGTTAAGAAACGACGACTGCAATGAAAACTATTTATTTCCCTTATTTATGTCCCTTTCTTTAAAGTATTGAAATCTAAAAAATATGAAATTAAAATAAACAACTTGAAACATTGACTTATACTTGACTATGCACTTGATAATTTTATTATGGTGC